TTTTTGATCTAAAAACAGTACCAAAAACCACAAAAACAAGAAAATTATAGCAAAATGCTTGGAACACAGCCGCAAAAGGAAAAAATGAAGAGCTGATACCAAAGACTCAAACAGAAAGAAAAATGTTTTAAGGATGATGATGGCAACAAATGTACAAATGTGCTCCACACAATGGATGGATGGATGGATTGTGATAAGAATTGGAGCCCCCAATAAAATGATTAAAAAATAAAAGGTTTAAACACAACTAATGCTCAGTGACCGAAACACGAACTGCTTTTGTTTACAAAAATCACGTGCGTTGGGTCGGATTCCAATGTTTTGTTCGCGCTCCAATGCAAAATTTCTGGACGTTGCATGGCAGAACCGATTCAGTACTGCTGCCGTTGAGGACCCTTCTGAGGTGGTGTTTCATCTCTGTAGCCCGTCCCCAAAGAACTGAAGGAGCGAATTGCCACATAGGCTGTAAACCTTTATGGCGGCAGAGTGCTGCGTCTTTGTCCCTTGGAGTGACAGGTGGACACGAACCACTGGTCTTTCGGTTAGCAGCTGCCGGGCTGAGACACCAGGAAATGGAATAAAAACAACAAAACCCCTGTCATTGACCTACGGCTAGATCTGTGCTGTCCAATACTCATATACTGAGCAGCTGAAAAGTGGTCCGTGTGACTGGGGAATGGCAGTTTTCATTAAATGCACATCTTGACAGCCAGGCATGGCCTGTGACTGCCATGCTGGACAGCACGCTCTGTGCGATGTTCCATCACACAAGGGAGACTGCTCTGCAGAATGGATGTGGATTTCTTTGTATCGACAATCGGATGCCTTTGAGGACATGCAAGGAGACCACACTGGAGACGGGGCACTTGCCTGTTGGCTACCTTTTGGGAAGCTCATTCTTTGGGCTGAGTCATCTAGAGGAGTTGACACAAGTAAGTTGTACATAGATGTACGCAACACAGGCATCTTCCAGGACACTTCAGCTGTTCAGGACACCATGGAGCTGAAGCGACTTACACAGCCAAGGGGCTCCAACCAAGACACAAAAGTCACTGTTCGTGTGGACATGCTGGTGGCAAGAGGCGCACAAGATACTGATGGGACAAACGACAGTACTCACCTTGAGAGCTGGGGTCAGTCACTTAACTTGCAAGTTGATCACACTGTTACACGTTTTATGGGAAACAGGATTTCTCTCAAGCTGTCTCCCCCAAATGTATGCCAGACTGCTTGAGAATGACTGTACACTTGCAGGTCATCAAGAGCATCAGCTGTCTAGAGCAAGCAGACACCACTGTTTATCCCACAACAAACAGGGCCCACTCCCTTCT